ATCTGACTAGCTCACACAGAGAAGTCTCTACCAGGAGCCAGCAACTTCAGGGATTAACAGCAAACTGGCTGTGTTTCAGACAAGAGTTTCCTGTTCAATGCCCAGATTCTGCTCAACTGCAGTAAACCAGGAATAGTCTAACAAAATTATCTGCTTATACCACACATTTAACAGTCATCCTCAAAGTTCTTTGAAAAGGAGGTGCTGCTGCCTTCCACAGTTTCTTTATCTCTGCAATGGTAAGAAAGGAGAGCTGCTCACTGCCACACAGCCAGTAAAAGCCAAAGCCAGGACACTGCAGTACCAGCACAGCCCTTTTCCCACCACCTTACTCTTTCCACCTCTGCATAGAGGCCGGGCTGCAGAGAGATACCACAGTCCCCCAAAACACTGGCCTAAAGCTCAGTAGATGGAGACCAGACTTTAGTCCCAAGGCCTTTTTTCAAACTTTCTATAAACACAAGCTCTACCTATTCCATGCCCATTTCTGCTCTCATTGTGCAACTCAGTGTTAAAACTGAAGGCTCTTGGGCAGAGAGAAACAACTTCTTACACTGCATTTATGCACAAGAGTTTAGATCAGGAAACCTGGTTAAATCTAAAACCTGATTTTACTTCAAAAAGAAGAATGTCTCACAGAGAAACTATTCAGAACAGACACTGCAATTTGAAGCCCCTGTCTCAACTTGGACACTTTTTCAAGAGTATATGAGACCTTACAGGAAACATAGCTGCTTTTTCCAACAGTTCTTCCTAGGACCGAAAATGCTTCCTATACCAAGGCTTGCTGCTTCCCTAGACCAACCCGTTTTCCTTCCATTCTAGACAGTGTGGAGAGAAACGTGCCACATTACCAGGGCTGGACCAGTACTGCCTTGAGACCAAGGTACGTTCACACAAGAGAGAACACCCAGCAGAAGCACAAAAGCTGCAACAAAGAGCAGGTCAGCAAGAAGCTGAGGAGCAGAGAAATAAATTCCTCTTCTTTCCCCAGCAACTGTTTCTGGAACAGGCTGTACAGAGAGGTCATGTAGTGTCCACCTTGGAGACACTGAGAACACAACTGGAGAGAGCAACAAGCAGCCTGTTTCCAGCAGGTCCCTTCCAGCCTCAGCTGCTGTGTGGTTCTGTGATCCACGTACAGACCTCTCTGCCCGGGCAGAGGTCCCTCACTACACCAGCTAGAAACATCCACTCTGACTGCAAGCAAACTCTTCCTTCTGCTAATGCCGTTGATGAAAGCTTGTCTTTCCTGACCTTGAAGCTGTGTTATCTACTTTGGCTGTGAGAAGGCGATAATAGCTCCTGACAATGGCAAGAGTCAGCTCTGAGCGGGTGGAACAGGAAATCCCATTTCTCAAGCCCTTCAAAGCCTGTCTGGCACAGTTTTCTCAGCAGCACTCAGTGAGATTATTGAACTAAAAATAACACACACAATAAGTTGTGCATTTAGAAGAAGAAAGGACTTGCCCTCAGTGTGGGTTTCCCTTCCACTTGTGGCCTCAAGTATCCCCAGACAGTTGAACTATTAGGGTTTTGTTCTCCAAATTAAGCAGGAGCTGCAGCTGCTGAAGTGGTCTTAAATAAAATAAGAAGATTAAAGGGTACAACAAAGAAATAAGACACTTTCCAGTTTTTAAACAAGTGTCTCTTCCCTCCCTGTTGTTTTCTATAATAAGAAACTGAGAGCTAAATCTCTTCCTTACCAAAACACTCTTGCCCTTCTATCATGAGCTCACATACAATTGGTTGTACACAGGTGAAATAAAGAAAAGGTAGGGGGGATCAGTCCTGCAGACTTCCATACAGAACATAATGCCTTGTGGGCAATCTGCTGCAGTGTTCAGGACAATGTCCAAGCCTGTTGAGTTAAATGCACTGTCTGAATCAGCAGGAAAGAAGGCATATCTTGTAACAGTAGGCACAGGATTAGGACTACCTAGAGGCCTTACACAGTTTTGCTGTCTTTGCAAACACTGTCTTTGCCTATACCTAGTGTGAGCTATCAAAGCTCAGTCATTGGTATCAGATCCCTTTCACTGAAGCCCGCCTGACTACTGAGGAAATTTTCATGCATCGTTTGCAAGGCTTGGACAATTTGCATTAGCGCTCTCCAACAAAACTGACTACTTTCTCAGCCCCCAGACTGTATGCTGACATGTGGCAATGGGATCTACCCTCATGACTCTGGGCTCAGCTGTGGATTTGATGCGTACAAACAATCTATTGCTTATATAGCACATGTCAAGTCCTGGCTCAGTTAGTAACTGTTCACCTAAAGCACAAATACATTTTTTGTGTATGCATCTATCTATACAAAGTTAACAGCCACTTACACACAGAAAAACGGAAAATGCCAACTGGAGTATTACACACTTGCCTTGTCTTCAGTTTACACCTGGAAGGTCACACACTGCACTGTTTTATCCAGAAGAAATAAGACAGATGAATTTTAAACCTAGTAACTTTGGTACTGAGTCCAAGGAGTTGGGCTCTCTACAAGAACTAGAGAGCTGCAAAATTCAGAATCTCAGCAAAATGAAAGGCAGGTGTCACAGCTCACAGCATCTCAACAGCCATCACCTGGTGTTGGGTTTGGATGAAGACAATAGACCCCACCTGGCAGCAGAGGTAATCAGATGACCTCAGTCACAGAGGCATACCAAAATCCCCTGCTACATTTACTACCTGCCTTCAGATTTAAGCTATATAATAAGAAGGATATTTTGCGGAAAACAGTTTTAATATAAACTCAATTCACTCAGAAGCAAAGTCCCTCCTATGCACTACAGATGTAATACAACATCATGTAGCTAGAGTCTGTGCTGTAACATGGCCAAACAAGAAGGCAGACTAAATGTGGTTAGGCCCTAAGCATTAGGTCTTTCACTTTTCAAACATTATTTTCTTCTTACAGCTTTTGAAGACCGTCATTAGCAATACTGGGGATGCTAGCTGTGAATACTACAGGAGATGAGAAAAGATCAGAGAAGTTTATGAACATTTCTGAAAACAGAACAGGAAGTGAAATAAAGCAGCAGCATACAGCTGCTACCACACTGCTTTTAAATCCCATTTCCCCTGTATTACACTCCAGCCCAGCATATTCTTTCGTTTTCAGAGATGCAAATGATATACAGCTCGTTCCCACTTCTGGGTTTCCAGTGTTAGAGAGACCAAATCCTGCAGCACTTATGATTCTCCTCATCTTTCCATCTTTGTCAGCTCCTCCACTCCCTTCAGTTTTAGCAGACCAGTGAATCCCCCAAAGACCTTACAAACACTGTAGCTTTTTCTGAGATAAGAGTGCATTTTGTATGAATAACATGCACAACATTCAAGTGATTGCACTCCTGTTCCCCTCTGCCTCTCCAGCACAAACACCTTTGGGACCTCCAGCACATCTGTGTCCCTCCTACATGCACAGGGGATGTCATCTGTAGTGCAAGACTTCATTCCCTACCATTGCAGCAGGTGCTAACATGAATATCAAGCCCAAATATCAAGCCCCAGAGACACTGCCTGCCAAAACCACAACTTCCCAGGAACCGGTCTGCCACAGCTCTGAGTCTGGCACCCTGCTGAGTCTTTACTGCAGCAGGGATGTTCTTGTCAGGCACATCTTCTGCCACCCCTGACTCAAAAAGCTTCAGAGCTGATCACGTCTGTGGAAGGTGTCACAGGGCACAACCATCCTCACGACACCCCTGAACAGTGACAGCTACTGTGATGTGCTCCAGCACCCCTGATGCACTCACCCTTCTCCCACCCATGCACACACCCTCCCTGCACACTGCTAGTTACAAGACTGCCCAGTGGGCTGCTGCCCACAGGCCTGGGAAACAGCTCCCTGGGGATTAACTTCAGCTGCACCTGGTGGAAATGGGCTACAGCCTCCAGCAGTGGCCACAGCCACAGGGAGGGAGTGGCGACTCCTCCTCTTGCTGTCACAGGGGCTGTGAAGGAACACCACACCACGCCCTGTGGGGTGGCAGCTGCCCAGAGTCTTCCTGTCAGGGCAGAGGCTTCCCAGCCCCACTCACAGCCCTCACCTTACCTTGCAGGAGCATCTGCACAGCTGGGGCAGCACCACAGAACTTTCCAGAAGGCCTCCTCCTCCCCTCCCTCCCACGTGGGCAGCACCCTCCCCTAACTGCCTCCATGGACAGGAGACTCAGCTTGGCTCAGCCAGAGCAGTTCTGTTGGGGGGACACCAGAGCAGACACGTCCAGAGGTGGTCAGGATGTGGTGAGTGCAGGGCCAGGATGTCTGCAGGGCCAGTGCTGCAGACCTGCCATGAGCCTGGACCAGCCATGTGGGAAGCAACCCCTTCTCCCAGGCATGCACCAGCCAGGTCAGAGCCCAGGAGGTGAACTGCCAGGTGCAGTTACAAATCCAGCATAAAGGAACACCCAAAAGCTGAGCGAGGTGTGACGAGCCAGCAGCCACACGGACTGACGAACCAACCAGCAACAACACCCCAGACCCACACAAGCCAGGGACGTACCTGATCAGCTTTTTCAAATGTATGTGACTGAGAGTGTTTCAGGCAGGGAGGGTGGAGAAATCCTTCCTATTGCTAAATCTGGAAGCAACGTGAGAAGCTCAGGTTAGAGATGAGAATAATCACAAGCAGCAACAGTTTTTGGTACAGTGGTTTCCATCCAGACCAGATCGAGGGGGGTGTCATTGCTCTGAAATTTGGATTAATTTCTCTCAACACGTTACTGTGGAACACCAGGCCTATGGGGTTAAGCTGTCCTTGCTCTTCACCTGTTCATGGTACGTCAGTGCTGTGTGGGTGGAGCACGCTGGGCACAGCACTATGGACCCTGGTGCTGAGAGGAGCCAGTGTTAGTTCCATGGCCAGGAGGATGATACTGCCTTACTTCAGCTGCCATCTTCAGCTCCTTTGGTGTAGAAAGCCTTGACATGGGACTTACCGGGTCTGGCACTGGCGAGAAGCTTGTTTTCATGGACATAAACTGAACACTCAACAGTTTGTATCTTTACTGAATGAATTTATTGGTTTTTGAACTAAAGTTGCTCACAGTTATTTAACAAGGGATACATCAGATCTTTTTGTCCATTTTAAACCATTAAATAATGTCAGTTTGTGTCTGTATATGTGTGTGTGCGCGCGTGTGTGTCTTCAAAGTACAAAATAGGAAGGATAACAAGAGGTATTGCTTTCATTTATTCTTATATCTTGTGTAAGTAATCCCCTTCCTGCTTGTACCACATGAGTTTTGATGATATAGGTATTTTTAAATTATTATTATTATTTTGTATTGAAATCCCAGCCTTTTGTAGAGGTACAATGTAACAGAAGCATCAAAATCTATACACAAGGGAAGAGAAAAGAGGGAAAAGAAGGACGGGGGTGATGGGAGGGGAGCTCGGAGGAGAAGTAGAGAGAGGGCAGAGGCAGGAAAGACAACGAAAGCAAAAGAGACTAATTTACAGCAATGTCATGCAATTAAAACTGCCCCCCTCTCCTGCACCCTTGCCTCCCCCCCTCCCCAGCCATCATCCCCTGGTGTCTGACATGCACACAGCAATACGAGAGAGAAAAGTTTAAGAATAGGGAAAATAAATAAATAAATAAAGGAAAAAAAATTAAAATAAATCCCTCCCATTTGGGGGAATGGGGAAACTGGGCAGAAGTCAAAGGTCTTTGCCCCAGTTGTGTCTTTTAAAATTCTTTTTAATCTTCAAACCTATGTACAAGTAAAACTGGTCCAAGAAGGGGAAAAATGATTAAAAAAAAACAACAACGACAACAACAACAAAAAAGAACTCATCCAACATTATCATCAAAAAAAAAATAATCTTGCGATACAACATACACTCATAGGAACCCAACGAGCAGCAATCGAAGGTCATAAAAGAGCTGAACACTAATGCTAAGCCTACATTCTTAAAATCTCAGTCAAGAAGTACTTCTCACTGTGTTTTGTCTTCCACGCGTAAAACCACGTTTTTTTTGTTTGTTTAACCTTTGAGCTTGGGCCAGAATAAGTTACACTTGGTCACATAAATCCTGAGGAGGAGGAAAAAAGGCAGCAATTCTTCTTTCTCAAAGTCACAAAATGAACACTTACAGGGTTTCTGTGTCTTTTTTCCCCCTCCTCCCCAAAATAAATAAGAATCAATGTTGCCTCTACACAGTTATTAAACAGAAGATATATCTAACAGCTTATTTTTTTAAATATATATATATGTATATATAAATAACCAAGACCTAATAACTGAAACACAAAAAAAAAGGTCCCCATCCACCCAATCCCACCCTCCTCCCCTTCAAAAAAAAAAAACAAAAAACAAAAAACCAACCAAAAACAAAACAAAAACTTTATAAAAATATCTTGCAGTAAATTTTAGAGTTTACAGTAGCTTTGTGATTAAGTCTCCCATTGCCCTGACTCCACCTTGTCTTGCTCTGATGAACTAAGTGCCAGTGATTTTGCACACACACACACACAGGAAAGAAAACCCAATATAAGTCTCTTTTCTTCTTCCTCTTCATCTTTTTTTTTCTTTTTTTTTTCTTTTTTCCTTTTTTTTTAAGAAAAAAATCACCCAAGCCAACAAATGAAACTGGTAACTTAAAGAAATAATAATACTGATATCAATGCAGCACTAGCAACACAACAATTGCCTCTAAATGCAGGGTGTGGTGGAGGATCCAGCTGGTTGAAGAAGGTCCCAGCACGGTGGCACAGTGGCAGGGAGTTGACAGGTGGGGAGGAAGGTGTCGAAGGAGGAGCAGCAGTAGCAGCAGCGGCAACTGTGCCTGGTGACAGGAGAGACAGTCCTTGGCAGAGTCTTGTCCCTCTTCTTTGCTACCAGAAGTTGCCTTTTCCCTAAGTTTTAATGTTTTGTTTGTATGTGTTTATTCATTGAACCCCCTCTCCCTCCTAAGTTTACTCCTTTCCCCTTCCAGCAGGTCAAAAACCAAAATGATACAGTATAAAAAAACCAATTATTTCGTATATATATATGTATGTATGTATGTATATAAATATACACACAAACATACATGTATATATAAAAAAAGGGGGCAAAAGAAAAGGAAAAGGTGGCGGGGAGAAAAAAAAAAAGGTAAGAAAATCCCATGATGAAGCTCCCCAATATTGTCTTGGTTCAACGCTTAGTTTTGAGTTGCTCCTGGCTGGTTTCTGATGAGAACGCGCTCTGGATTCATGGAACACTGCGCTCCCGCTACACCCGTCTCCTTCCCCACACCCTCCCTCTCCGGGCTGCGTTCACCTGCGCGGACAGAAGTTGCCAAGGGTAAAGATTTCACTCCAGCAATTAGCAACCTCCTTTGAGCCCAGACTCTGCAATCCCACAACTGAGCAGATCTCTCTTGTGGAGCACCAAAAAAGAAAAAGAGAGGGGGGAAAAAAAACCAGGCGTGCATTGGGGAGGTGTTTGGGGAGAAGTGGGGGAGAAGCCCACTTCCTGAAGGGAGAGGGGAGGCTGGGAACCTCAAACAGGACTGGTCCTTGGACAGTCTACATCGGTTGCCTTCCGTCAACAAGTGTCCGCAGAGCACAGAAGGTGAAGCCGTGGCTGACATGTTAACTTTTCGGGATAATTCCTGGTAGCAGAGCGGAAACAAGTGGTGTCGTCAGAAACACAGAGAGAGCATGAACAGAACAAGAAACAAAACAAAAGAAAACAAAAAACAAAAAACAAAAAAATAAAAAACCCAAAAAATCAGGAAGGAGAAAAAAAGCAAAACATTCAAAAATAGGGAGGAAAAAAAACAATCGAAAAAAACCACAACCCAAGATCTGGTGAACTGGGTTTGTCATCTGTGCTACCTTTTCTTTTCTTTCTTTTCATTCTTTCATTCGTTTGTTTTTGTGTTTGTTTCTGAGATATATATTATATATCATATATAAATATATATATGTATATATATACAGTCATTCCTTCATACAAAATTTGTCTATAGACAGTTTTGTACTGTTGTGGCAAGGTATATACATCCTTCTAGTTTAGAGGCTAGCTTGCTAAGGAATATTCTTTCATTCTTTCTTGCTTTTTTCTTTTTCTTTTGTTTTGTTTGTTTGTTTATTTTTGTTTGTTTTGTGTTTTTTTTTTTCCTAAGTTACTTAATTTTTTTATGTGTTTATTTAAGGTTGGTCTTGTAGGCCGACTGATGAGACCATCTTTGCCTTGTCTTTGCCAGCAGGGTACTTATTGTCTCCTCTAGACCCATAGTCATTAGAACCGGAATCGCTCCGCTTGCTGTTTGCGCTATGCTTGGTTGGCGTGCCGGGGGGATGGCTCACCTGCCCGTTCTTCTCGTCTGAAAAAAGTTGTTTAATTACGTCAAAGAAGTTACTCAATGGGCTGCCTGGGTACACAAAACAGAGGAGACAAAAAAAGAAAGAAAGAAAGAAAGAAAGAAAGAAGGAAAAAAAAAAAAACGAGAGGGAAAGAGAGAGAAAAAGAGGAGAGAAAGAGAGAGAACAAACAAACAAATGAACAATGGGGTTTTTAACGAGAAGAACATGATGAGGAGATCCAGAGCCACGTGCGTGGGGGTGTGTGGGGAATGAAGACAATGAGCAGGAAGAGGAAGAGTGTTTAGGATGGGATACCTACAGAAATAAAGAGCATACAGCACCTAAGGGAAAGGTCTTAGTTTTTTCCTGAGTGGGGAAGCATTGTCTCACCTAGCAGAAGGACACAATATCATGTGACTGAAATAGTTCAGTCCATTACTTGGAGTCACTTGGCCATTCCACATGGAAATATCCATGAATGTGATGCTGGATACAGACAAATCCCATCCTACTGCTGCTGTTATAAACACGGGGTATTTGCACGTGCCCACCAAGTGATGCTTTGTTTTGCAGCCTTGCTAAGCTATCTGGCTACACCAGCCATTAGGCTTTCCTTGCTTGCATTTTATTTTCTTCTGAGTATCTCCTTGCCAGCCTGCTATCACTAAGCCTGAAGCAACTGAGTGGTTGGAAGGAAACAACATTTGAAAAATGAGCTATGACTGAGATGAGTGTTGCCATCTGCATGTGTGGTCTCTGGTTTGTACTCACAGGCTTCTAAGCACCTTCAGATCTCCCTACAAAGGTACCTGGAAATGAAGATGCTGAATGCATTGTGGAAGCAGGCTGTTATGCATTTAACTATTTCTGGGACCTAGCAGAGTCAAGAACTATTACCTCACTGTCCTGAATTTCTGTTCTCTCTACAACACAGCCTCCATGGCACTCCAGGAGTTAGGAGCCAGAGTGGGGTTTAGGGTTTTGTGCTAGTAAAACAGGCATCTCCTTAAGCCAGCCTCTAGATCAGGTCACAGTATTAACAAGGGTTGGGTACTGGGCAAATGAATACAACCTTTCATGCCATTTGGACCTCCAGGCAAGAGGGTTATATGCTGTTAATCTAGTTTTGTGTCAGAGGATGTGTGGAAGTCCATACCTGAGGAAAGGCTTCAGGGTGCTACCGAGGGAAAAGGGACCAGATGCTACTGGAAAGGTAGCCTTTTCAGGGAATTTCTAGTCCCTTTTAATTTTCTTGAGTTAGGTGATTAATCCTTATCAAACATAGGAATGGTCACACTAAACTCTTCAAACAGGGATACTGAAGGTGTTTTTTATCTGACGTACACCATGGAGGTTCTGTCTGTTCATGATCACTAAAATCCCATGATGGTTTTCTCAGTACTGGGATTGTTGGCTCTAGTGTTCAGTCAAATTCAAATCATTTACATCTCCAGCTCCAGCAAGGAAATAGGATCCTTGTATCTGCCTTCCAAGGTGGTGGCATGCTGTGAAGAGTGGAATCTTTCATCTCCTACAATGGGAACATTCAGTCAGGAGCAAAGGGTTTCTTCATAGCAAAGATTGCCATGTATCCATAGTTGGTGGACAGTGGTGGCTTGGTAATGCTGTATTTCCCTTCTCTCTCATTACAAACATAAGCAACTCATTAACTACAGCAGGTAAGTACTTTCCGTGCATGGTAACTCGCCTGGAGAGCTCACTGAGTGCTTTCTGATTCTCTAATGGAAAATGCTAGACAGACATCAACTGTTCTTAGACAAAGAAAGGGGAAATACACAGTATTTGTGCTCTGCAAAACTGAACTGGTTACTCTTTATTTCCTGCCCCGTGCTAACCAGGTAGTTGCTGCTTTTCTCTGCATGTTAACAGACACTGAGAAAAATCAAATGGCTGGCATATATTCAGTGAAGGATCTTAATCTTATGAATCTAAATCATCCCTTGTCGTCTTCTACTTGCTGCTTTGTGTTCAACTTCCTGCTTGCCCCAGTTCTGTCTGTCATTCAGGTACACCAGTGTCACAAGGAACTGTCTGTGAGTTTCTGAAAGGGCATCATTCACCCAACTGAGTGAAGCCTTAGTGATGGGCACAAACAGCCAGGCACAACCCATATCTCAGTTTCTGGCTAAGAGGAGAAGGGCTATCAAACTCTCAGTCACTTTGGGGTCAGACCTCCATGAGCTCCACCTGCTTCCATCCACGTGCATACAAATGCTGTGGCAAGGGGCTATCTGTTCCACATCTATGACTTCCATTTCAGAGATTTCCCTAAAACTGTTATGGGTTTGTGGGCTCATCCTCTGTGCAGACTCGCTTTTATCTACTCAGACTGATTTCTACTTCTTTTAGGTGGATACCATTTTTCAATGAAAAGAAAAAAAAGAAAGCAAACACTCAGCCTTGAATGCAGGAATGTGGGCAGATCTGGTTCTTAGGTGGCTTTGGACCCCTCATCCTCATAAGCAAATGGAGTCAGCAGAGAGAATGAAAAAGAGCACTGAAAAAAACGCTGGAGAGGAAAAGACTGCTAGGTTGGGAGAAAAGAGTAGGGCAATATCTAGTTATTCATCTGAGCAGTTGGTTCAACATGCTTAGAGGGAAAGACGAGGGCAGAGTAAGCAGGGCTCTGCAGGAACTGGAGAAGTCTTTTGTTTTCATGTAGACAGGAACAGTGACCAAGTACAACTAGCAAGAATGGAGCAATAAAACACTTTAGAAATTATATATCTTGTACTTGCTGAGTCCTGATACAGGATTTTCAGTCGTCCTACTAAAATATGCAGCCCCTGTTTCATCCACCCTTTCTCCTCCCCAGCTTTCAAGTGTCTGGAGATTTATTGCAGCAAAAGTATTTAACAGTCTGCTTTTCTCTGCCTCTATCACTACTGAATTCTTTACAATCAGCATTTTTCAGTTAAAATTTTAATGGGAGGTAAGAAATCCTTAGGGATGTTTAAAGTGAGCTACTGAAAAATAAAATAGGCCATTTCACTAACCCTTTCTTTCCTCTGCCCTTTGTACTTGTAATTAAATAGTAGGTAATAATGCTCTCTGGCAATCAAGAAAGAACTGATCCTACACCAAGCAATACAGACAATCACTGCACTGATGTCTATGTGACAGGTTATTAGCCTGCTCTTGGGCTGGTCTACCCAAGGAGTCCTCACATTTTTCTCTGGAGATACATAAGTAGGGGTCAGCTATGCTGGAAGCATGAAAATGGTGTGGTGTCCTTCCTCTTAGTTCTCAGTTCCCTTTGGGGTTATACATCCAGTAAAACAAGACTTGAAAATGCAGGTGAAAATTGATTAGAATAGCTTTTTTCAGCAATCTTCCACTCCTAACATTCAGTGCAAAATGCGTCATAGGTCCTTACACCTGTAAGCCCATCTAGAGACTCAAAAAGGCTGCCTTTCTTATTTCAGAAAGTGAGATGACATCCCATTTCGTCTGGACAGGGATGAAGGTTTGGCTCACTGACTCTTTGGAACATCCCTGGTGTTTCATGCATCTGTAACTAAGGTCTTCTTTCCCCTTGAGAGCAAAAGTTCATCAACACAGAGCAAAGAAGGCGTGAAGGGTAGCAAGGGTGAGAAACCGTGAGAAGGATCAGAGGCAGGAGGGGAGGTTCAGAGCATTAGGTTTATGTCTATTAGGAGGAGATGGAAATGCGCATTTTTGAGTTAGACCATGGAGCTGCACGCTGCAAGATGGGGAAGGCGGATGGGTTTGAAAACAAGCACTGAAGCTTATGAAAAGGTCAGGTATTGAAGGGAATATATTTAGATAAATATATTTATGGAGAAGTCACTCGTTTGTGGCATCTGTGTGCAGCACTGTAACGGCCAAGTATCATGAAGAAGTCAAAACTGTGAATGCAATTGAATACAATAAGCGCTAAAAGGAAGAAACCGAGCTAGAGAGAGAGACACAAAAATGTAAAAGGAAGCTGGTGTTTTGTATCAACCCTCACAGTCCTAATGATTTCATCTGCTGTTCTTAGCAAGCCTGTTTGCCACTGACCTAGCCCCAGTGGTGTCACTGGCTTGAGAAGCCAAGTAGAATCAGAGCACCCAGGTAGGAGAGGAAAGAGAAAATGAGGTGAGTCATTCCAGGCACCAGAAGTGACACCAGAAAAGGATGCACCTTGCAAAGACCCTGCTTTGGCATTATAAAGATCCTCCGTCCTCCACAGAACGTAACAGGAGATGGTGAACAAGCAGCTTCAGGACAAGCCTGGAGGCTCTTGATTAGAGCCCCAGTTACTGATTAGATCCTGCTGTTTTGTAACATTTTAAGACAGTCAGATAAGGGCTTGGTCCTCATTTCATTGAAGCAAATAGCAACATTCCCACTGACTTAAGGGAAGCAAACCCTGAGGCACTTCCCCCTCCTATGAAACCATCACTCTCAAGTCTATGTATTTTTAATGCACTAATCCTCGTGGTGCTGAACACAAAGCTGCACAAAACAAATATGCCATCTGTGGGATTATCCTCTGCCTTTCCTTTCTGTATAGCCTGAGAAATTTTGGGATTTTGCATATTTAGCCTGGGCTTTGGAAGAAAGTAAATTGGAAAATATAGGTCTCCACTGGAAACGGAGACATCTTTTGTAAACCTGACTTCCCTTATCCTTCCCTTGGTGCTTTCACATCCTTCCTGTCTTCTGCCTGCCTCTCTTACTGAGGTTTTCTTCCTATACTCATTCCTTACTCTTTATCCTTGTCTTTTTCATCCCTAGGTTGCTCTTTGTTTTGATAGCAGCTGTGGTGAATCACATAACAAAAATTCTACTCCTTTCCTTTCACATAAAGCATTAAAACACTCTCTTAATGAGTGATAATCGATTCCCTTTCAAACCCATTTTGCTGCTTTGACAGAATATTAGCCCTCTTTGTTAAGATTAGACACTTCTTTCCTTTTGCTTGGTTTCTGTTGATAGAGTCCCTCCTGCCTTCAAAAACAACTTAAAATATAGAACCCACTCCAAAAGTATAAAAGTGAAAGGGATGACAGAAAGATAAAGTGACCTGTTCCTCTTTGTT